AAAACTTGTTGTCAGACCTTTACTAGAAGATTTTAAGGAATATATGGAAGAAGCATCAAAAGAAGAGAGTTTAAGAGATCCAAAAAAGATTAGACATCAGTTTACAAAGGAGACTTTTGAAAAATTGAAGATTGGATGTGATGGTTCCTTATTTCCAACAAAAATTGAATATTTTAAAAAAGTGCTTGTGGATCGAGGTAAATCATTTATCTTTGGGTCTCGTGAAATAGGATGTGTAGATCCTAATATTGTTGCTCCTATGGTTATCTTTACCTTGGAACTTAAGACCAATTCCTATGTCGAGGGCACATTTACCTAAATTGGTAGAATTATTGAAAGAAAAGATGCAAATGAAAGTTTTAGAGCCTTCTTTTGCTCCATATTCTAGTCGTTGGTTTACGGTGCCTAAGAAAAATGGATTGTTATGTTTTATTTAAGATATACAGCCAATAAATGCAGTAACTATAAAAAATGAAGGTATAGGACCTTTAGTAGACGAGTTTATAAAAGCGTTTGCGAAAAGGGCAATTTATTCAATGGGTGATTTATATTCGAGTTATGATCAATTTCAACTTACACATGGGAGTAGAGATCTAACAACAATGAGAATGCCACTTGGATTACTTAAAATGTATACTCTCTCTCAGAGTGCTACTAACTCAGTTGCATACATGATGAATAGGATGAACAAGGTATTAAGAGACTTAATTCCTAAAAAAACTATGCCCTTTTTAGATGATGTTCCTATCAAAGGATGTAAAGAAGAAAAAAAAGATGAAATTTTAGATGAAAGGGGGTGTCACAAATATGTCGTTAATCATATACAAGATTGTGAAAAGATTTTAACTCGACTTGAAGAAGTTCATCTTATATTTTCAAGAGTAAAATCTATATTTAGAGTACAGGAAGTTCTTATTGTTGGATATTTGTGTGGATTTTATGGGAGAAAGCCAGATCGAAGCAAAGTTGATGCAATTGGAAGAATGAAAGATTCATGTGATTCTTTAACAGAAGTACGCAAGTTTTTAGGAGCTTGTGTATTTTATCATATATGAATTCCTCATTATACTTATGTAGCGGATCCATTATATGAATTATTACGTAAAGATTATCAATTTAAATGGAAAAGAAAGCATACTGAAGCAATGTAGAAGCTAAAGGTGTTATTGGTGATACTTCCAATTTTAAGAAAAATTGATTATGACTGAAATAGATAAGTAATTCTTACTGTGGATACTAGTCCTATTGCTATTGGATGGGCTAAAGGTCAAGATGATTCAAGTGGAAATAGATTTACAGTTTGATTTAGAGCTAAAGTTTTAAGTACTCGTCAACGTGCATATTTGCAAGTCAAAAGAGAACTTTGGGGAGTTGTTTCGGCTATGAAAGCTGAAAAGGATTATTTGATTGGTGTAGCAGTAGTAATTGAAATGGATTGCTTGCCATTACTTGGAATGATTACTAATTGTTCAACGTCGGATATTACAATATTAAGATGGATTGCTTATATTAAGTCATTAAATCTAGAATTTAAGCATATTACTGGAAAAGATAATTTAGTAGCAGACATGCTATCTCGAGGAAGATATGAAAGAGAAGACGAAATGGTTGAAGACATTGATGATGTTGGGTCAAAATTCTATTCAATATCAAATCTTAACTTAGAAGATAAGCTATTTCTTGAAGAATTTTATGAAGGAGAATTACTGAATATTAGTCATTACTTGAATACCTTGACTAAGCAAAAAAATTGGTCTACAAAAAAATTTAAACAAATAAGAAAAAAAACATATGGATTTTTGTTTCAAGAAGGACTCTTATGGAAGAGACCAAAGAAAGGAATTGGAATGCTACAAAGAGTGATAGGTAATAAGGAAGAGAAACAAAAATTATTAAAGGGGTTTCATAATAGTTTATGGGCAGGACATAGAGGAATTTGGACTATTTTTGCTAAACTTAAGGAACGATATTGGTGGAAAAATATGTATCGAGATGTGCTCTTATTTGTAGAATCATGTGAAATTTGTTAAGCGTATTCTAATATACAACATCAAGATGGTCTTCATCCTATATATCTTCTAGCTATTCATTTTAAATGGGTTGTTGATTTGGTTATTATGCCAATCGATTTATGGCAAATGAAATATTTAGACTTAGCTCGCAAAGATTTATCAAATCAAGTAGAAGGAAGAGCATTGAGAACAAAAACTATAGAAGGAATTTGTAGATTTTTGCTTGAAGATGTTATTTGCCACTACGGATGTGTAGGAAAAATCACTGCAGATCGTGGAGAATTAAATACATAAGAAGCTTGTGAATTCTTTGAAAGATGTGGAATTAAACTATCATTGACTACTGCTTATGATCCTGAAGGAAATATAAAAAGTGAACATGGATATTATTAATATTTAGTCAACTTGGATGTTAAAAACAGTGTCCAATTTTAGTGCCAATATTCAGGATCAATTAATGTCACTCCACCAATGTCATCAAATCAAGTACCCTCCTAACGAACAGGACAACCAAGATCATTTTCCAACCCTACATGGAATAAGCCTATTAGGTATATAGCAGTGGAGACACCCAATATGCATGATGGGGGTGCACGAAGACCACTTTGTCATTTCCGTTGTAGACAGATTGATCATTATACCAAAGAATGTTCCAATTCCAAAGCCACTGATGATTACGCGCCAATATGAAGGAATTAGAAGCAGTGGAGGCATACTTATTAGGAATGTAATGTTCCATCCAATTTTAATAAATGAAATCAGTAGATCCAAAGCTAAGGAAAAATTGAGGAGATAAATCAAGGTCCTCAAGATTCTCCGATAAATCAAGTGAAATGAGTCCAAGCCGTTCTTACCAAGAGTCAGCAAAAGAGAAAAAGACCAATTCAATATTCAGGTGAGTCTGATGTGAAGGGCCAATTTGATCCAATTACGGGGACATCCCATCCAAGTCTTGGTATGGGCCTCTTATCCAGTATGAGAGATGACTTGGTTGGGCAACCCAATGAGGTCTCAAATACGGAGGCTTCGGTTCCATTTCAAGCTGTTCTATTCTCTATGCCATTTCAGGGGAAATGTCCTTTCCTTGAAAAGATCCTCTTAGAAACAGGAATTCCGGAGAAGCGTCGTCGGCTGTTCCAATTCGAAGTTCAGGGCGGGAGAAAAGGAGACCACACAGAGTTAAAAGGGAGGAGATGATAAGGAAAGGGGCATTTGGAGATCGGATTTTTGGGGTCGGAGAGGTAGCTTCAAGCTTGTTCGAAAGGTATAGAATTGGATTTCATAGGGTTTGGGAGAACTTTGGCAATTGTTGTTGAAAGTTAATGTTTGTATTGGTGAATTGGATTTTTTGCAATAAAGTAACAGTTGGTACTCTTGATTGTTTTGAGAAATTGGAGAAACTTCTGCGGTTGAAATTTAGAGATGTCTAGAGGATTGAGTATGTCGAGTGCATGCAAAAGTTTGTGTTAATCTGACAAAACAGATAGAGGATATTTGACCATTAGTATAAAGAGGTATCGAAAGTTAGCAGATTAGGGTTGTTTAGGATTTCTGTAATATCTAGAGATCTATCAACTAAAATAAGGTGACTTTTGGCGTGATAAGTCGAGGACTTTTAGGTGGCAGTCAAGATACATCAATGTGGATTAACGGCATTTTCTTGCAACCTGTAAGTTAGATTGGATTAAAACTTCTTGAGCATTTAAAAGGCTTGTAAAGACACAAGTAGTAGAAATTTACAACAATCGGACATTCAGATTGAGAATTACAACTTGCTGAAGCTCGCTGTTTAGAGTTAGGATTAAAAATAAAATAATAAATAATAAAAGACTTTGTACTTATAATATCTTGAAGTTATTAAAAATAGTGTTTCTAAGTAATTTGTATTGGGATTAAGCTTTTACATTGAAATCCGAAATATTTTATATTTAGATGGTTGAAACCCACTAGCCTACTTGGATACTTGTAAAATATTGTTTTATCTTCTACAACCCGGTGCGTTTTCAAGCAAGATAGCACGTAATACGACAATAGTTTTGACTTTAGATGTGTTTGTAGGTTAGAAACTTGGCCAAAAAGCTAACCATGTATTGATAGCTTGTAGAACAAGCCAACTACGTGGTGCATACATAGATAACTTGCCTTGCAAGATGAGACATGTGGCTAACAAAGTCAATACATGTTGGAGGTCCTATAGGACATCGCCATGTAGCTCTTAGTTAGATAGTATATATGGAGGCAAGAGTGAAGCCTTTTTCACTCTTGTCAACGCCTTCTAGTCTTAGTCTTGTTTCAAGAGTTTCTAGTCTTCTTGTTTTTGGCAATAACCATTCTAGATAATATTATACCACCTTTTGAGTAACTTTTTACTTCTCTTCAGTGATAGAAGAGTGTATTGAGGATTCTCTTTCTTCGAGATTCATGTCCTTGACATTAAGCCTCAAAAGTTAAAGTATCTTTTGAGGTTCTTGTTGCAAAATAATTCTTGACTTCAAAGTATTTATTATGATGTCTTTACATAATATCTAAAAATATCCTATAAAATAAGAAAGAGATTGATCTTTAATTTTTTTTATACTAGTGTTGTTACAAAAAAAAAGAATATATTTTGACTTTAAAAATTACATGATATAAGACCAAATTGGAAATTTTTGTTTGAAATTCTAGCACAAAAATAAGTAAATGTAGACAGGTTATTATTTTAGTGTAGATTAAAAAAATTGCTAGTATTTATAAACAAAGAATAATTTTAAAAATATGTGATCTGATTTAGGAATTCATTTTTTCTTCCATGAAAATATATAAAATAGAACCTGATTTTTTTTAACTAGTTAAGATATTTTTAATATTATAGTTTCAATAATTCTATTTTTATAATTTAATTATACTTTTACCAACTTCATCATATTTCAAGATTTTATTTTTAATAAGGATTCAAGTAACATGAAAAATATGTATGTTTTTGGAGTAACTTTAATTTTCTTCATATAATTTAATAATTTTCTTTTAGTATTATATATATATAGATTCAGCCTAGATTCTTGCACCAAAACCCTGGTTTCACCATTCAAGGATAGTCGAAGAATTGCTGTATCAGACGGTCACGATAGCTAAAATTGGCATCGCACCGCATACACATACAAACCTCTCCAGGAGCAATTCAGCTACAAAAGCCAAGCCCTAAATGCTTTAATTTTGATATCGAACAGGTATCCTCAGGCTAGTCGACTCCCCAGTCCTACTCTTGATCCCTGCTCTCAGTTCTATGTTGCTGCCACCGAAGTACAATGAGAAATCGAATTTGGGCTTGTTGTTCATGTTAAACTTTGGGAGGGTAACCACGAACTGTCCTTCTTTCGTAACAGTGGTGTCCTGTACATATCTCGGATTCTTCTGATCGGTGCTGTACAAATCAAACAAAATTTTGTCCTGGTCCGAAGATAAGGGAACGTACTCCTTCGTTACAACGTGGCTGACTTTTATCCGGTCCCCTTTAGTAACGAATTTGTCGAATCGCCTACAATACTTCTTCCCGTCCTTGAAAATCTTGAAGTCCTCACGATCGCCGGGTTCAAAAGGCAAGCTTACACTGGTACCGTAAGTCTTCCTGAGGACACGCTCCACAATAACTTCAGGCTTGCGTGCCAATAACACTGCACCTTGGATGATGGCGCTTCCAGGATTAGGGGGGGAGATGATGTTCTCCACATGGGCGAACCTGCTTCGGATCCTTCTCATGAGGTATTTGGAGCCTGCAAATCCACCGACGACAAACATCGCCTTGACGCCGAGCGCTTGTCTTAACTGCGCGTCAATCAACTGAAGAATATCTTCCACCACGGGGTCGAATATGGACTTCAAATCCCTCTCGGTGAGTTCAACCACTGACGTGTCCACCGTGCGACCGCGTTGCTTCTCAAAGGCCTCCCACTTTTTGGATAATTGGAGATGCAGATCAATCGACTTTGATGAACTTGTACCCTCGTCTTCGCCGAAGGTGCACTTGATATCTTCCCAATCCTTGAGCAGACGCGTCTTGTAGGAGGGGCAGTCGCGGCGCAAAAACTCGTCCAGGCACGGCACCTTGTTAGACAAGAGCCGCATGAAAGCTTTATCCACAAATGTACCACCGCAAAGACCACCTGAGCTTTCCGTGAGTTCTCGCACCTCATAATTTTCGCCGCTCCCTAAGAGCTCTTGACACACAATGTCGACCGTCCCACCACCTATGTCTACCACCAGAACCTTATCCTTCGTAAACAGGGACATGCTCTTGCTGTCTGCGCGCAAAATTTCATGGCAGTAGAAAGAAGCTGCCTCGGGCTCCAGCACCACTTTCACGGCCTCGGCTCCTCCGGCTGCCTCAGACACGAGCCCCGCATCCACCATGCACGCCTTCATTTGCTGCTTGGCATAATCGTCCCAGATTGATGGCACCGACACGCACCATTGCACTGAGTCTTGAACAAATGCAGCATCCCCGTCGTGGTTCTTTATCTTCTCCAAAACGTGCCCACCAATACGTTTCAAGTAATCTGCGATGACTTGGTTCACCGTCAGCGGGTACGGTATGCTACTTCTCAACTCGGGATCGTTTAGGTCTCCCTTCAATAGTAGCTTGAACCTCGATAGGTAATGTCCATCTTGTGTAGCAACTCCGGGCTTTTTGTCCGACAAATGATCCGATCTAGCGCGGTGACCCCAAGACATGCACTCTAAGGGTCCCCTGATCCTCTGGTAGTACAATCCTGTCAGATTTTTGCAGTAAAACCTCCCGGAAGAATCGCACGGCCACTCATAGTTGACATAGACGCTCTGATCATTACCTACTACTTTGGTGTATGCGTAACCTGAGTAGGTTGTCCCAAAATCTAATCCCACCACCCATCTTATTGGGTTTTTGGGTCTTGTCTTGGTGCGTGATACTGACGAATCTACTTTCATTACATTTTGGGAGTCACGTGCGGGACCTCCAGCGGCACGATCTGTTGTGCTTTGCACAATCTCGGGAATACCATTGCCCCAATCCTTCTCGTCACTAGTGGACGGTTGGGAGCATTTACATAGGAGGCACATTTAGAATCTGAGAAGATGACCTGACAACAAATTGAAAGCACACAGTCGTCTGAACGCAGGAATCTGAGGTCTCGGTTGGCAAATGAATTGGTCGCTCCACTGTTTCGTAGCGAACATATAACCAACTGTGAACAAGTCACGACACTCAACGCAACTACCGACCAGCTTGGATCTCAATCTTTCTGGGGGGTCTCACGAAGACCTGCATCAGCGACTAGATGAACGCTCAGACAATAGAGCATGGTTGCATAGCTGGCGCCACACATCCTTCACGACACAAATCAGGTGCAAATCCAGGGAAAACGAAACCCACACAAGTAGCGTCTCGCATACAAAAAGCTAATGCGCCTCAATGCCGCTGCAATACCGACATGAGACGTGCACAGGTCAGTGAAGCCCAAAGGCATCCACCCTCAAAAAAAAAAAAACATAAATGGCATACCCTTGCTTTTCAGAGCACTGCGTCGAGCGTTCAAGATCACTCATCTACCGCTCGATGGACAGATTTATGAACAGCCTCAGCAAAACTCACAAATAACTTGAACTATAATCGACAGCACACACGGTGGATTCAATGCAGGGAACTCCTCACAGACCAAGATGTTCTAGTGCCGTCGGAATTCCGACTGCAACCATGCCGACTACAAGAACCGGCACTGACAAAGCAAGTCTGCAAAGACCTATGACCTCACGACCCTGGCTAATCTAAGTCGCAAGATGAGCAGCACGTCAATCGCATTGCCCCGCTAGTGGCAAGCACACAGCTAGCTTCTCCGCGTTTTACCGACTAATTCTCACTATTAACCCGATGCCCTGGAGGTGCGCTTTTTCCGTCTGTAAACCAGACGTTAATAGCATCAAGAGCCCAATTGCGGAGTCGCACAGGCTGAGCTTTACTACCGCGTCGGAAAAGCCAATTGAAGCTTTTGCAGCTCACAAATTGGCCGCACTCCGCATTCCTGCCATTCTTCCGCAGGGATGCCGGGCCCATGATGGATGTTCATTCATCCGGGTCTCATCCTGGGGAGTGACCGGGCATTTCTGCTGCCCGATTCCTCCATTGCAGACGCTTGCTAGCTGCCCTGCCACAAAGGGCAGCCCCGACTGGCCAGTCTCTTCAGAACTGAGAAGTGTGCTCTGCTCCCGCCCAAGCTAGTGTTAGCCACCCCTGTCTTGTCTTAAAATTGTAATGTACTACACATGATAAAAATTATTAAGAACTCCAATTTCAAGACTTCTATCTATTTTTACTTATTTATATTTATTTAATTAATATAGACATCCATTATATAGACTATCATATATCAATATATGTATTAGTTTATTTATTTTGTTTTGAACATTATTTGTATCTTTGATGTTAATATCTTCAAAGTTGTTTATGTTAATTAGTGTTTAGTTCAAAATCATAGTTTCTTATACTCTCCATATTATAGTAGGATAAGATTTATAATGTTTTATAATACTTACTTTCTTAAAAAATTAGCAAAATATTTAGATAAATAAGAAATTGATGTTTATATTGATTATTGTATATTTATGCAAATAGTATACAAAATTTATAAGTAGATTTTAAAATTGCATTAGTTAGAAATTTTTTAAAAACTTTATATTTTTTTCTTTTTAATATTGATTCCTCAAACCTAGTTCCAAGATATCTAATATAGAAATATAATGTGTTTTTTTATCATCTATTAGACAAGTTAATCCAATATATATATATATATATATATATATATATTATTAAAAGACAACATACCAAATTTAAAAGGTGCTAGCAATGAAAGACCATCATTGTTCACAGTATATCTTTAGGATATCAATCAATTTTATATTTAGAAAAAATACAAAAGACTTGTATCTATCTCAAGGCTATAGAAAGTTTCTAATAATAGATTAAATTTTTTAAATGCACAAATTTCAAAACTCTAGTCAGTACATTAAAATTGTTGAGGATTAGAAGGAAGCCTCAAGGATCTCTATGCACTTTTTTTTTAGCATAAACCACTCTCTTATTAACTTGATCATATATATATATATATATATATATACACTTCATCAATTCAAAATTATATTATATATAAACTTAATTTAGACAAATTAAACTCTAGATTGGTTAATAATCTTAAACTATAGTAATTTTTTAAGATAAATAAAGATGTGGAAGAAACTTCTATCCAATATATGTTCATCTTTTAATACTTCCTATTCAATTTCTTGTGAAATTTATCATTTTTTTTCAATATATATATATATATATATAAACATATATAGATGATTAATTTTAAAAAATAATTATTTAAATAAAATATACAATAAAATACTTGTATAATATATATATATATGTATGTATGTATAAAATGTGCATAATTTATAAATAAAAATAATATAACCAAATTGCTATCTACATGCCCTAAAATCAATAAAGAACAATATTTTCATCTCATGTAATGTAAAAATAATAAGTAACTTCTCAAGTGATGAGGATGCATAATAAAGGTAATCAAGGTACTTCTACATAAGCTTGAAGTCCTTTGTACTTTTAATACTATACAATATTCACTTGTGAAGCATATTATCTAACAACATCTTCTCAAATATATAGCATGAGCATCCTTGAGCTCAATTGATGCAATAAAGTAATTCTCAATAAATTAAAATCTAATGTATATATCAATGCAATTCAACTATGAGTCTTCACATTCAAAAAAACCTCTAGCTTTTGTCATGAAAAAATATATTTTTTCCAATAATTACCTATATGATTACATAGAAGTGGATAAATGTAGATTAATTTCATAATATCTTCTAAAGAAGGTCATAGAAGCTTTATAGATGTGGTTTTGATTTTATATATATTTGTAGTTGATTAATAGGTTAGAAATTTGATCCATAAGTTAACCATATGCCACACATGTTGGTAGCTTGCCAAATAAGCTAACTATATGGCATACATATAAAAAGCTTGCATTGCAAGTTAAGACATGTGTCTAATATAAACAACACATATTAGAAGTCCTATAGAACATCACCGCATAGCTCCTAGTTTGATAGTATATGTGAAGGCAAGAGTGAAGCCTTTTTCACTCTTTTCAACACCTATTAGGTCTTTAGACTTGTCTTAAGACTTTTTAGTCTTCTTGTCTTTGATAATAGCCATTTTAGGTCAATATATTATTAACTTTGAATTATTTTTTAGTTTTTTTGAGTAACATAAGAATGTATTGAGGATTTCTTTTTTCAAGATTCATGTCCTTGATAGTTTGATAAGAATATTAACTTATTGTTCTTGTCTTTTATTAAAGGTAAGTGAATTATCCTACTTCTATTGTTGCATTTTGAAGATTATGGACTACCTATCTTTAAACAAATAATTTAGTTTTCTAACATTTATTTTTTTCTTAAAAAGTGTGGATTACCTTTCTTTGTAGAAATTTTTATTTAATATTAGAAGCTACAAATTATCCTCTTCTAATTTAATTTTTTGAATTTTTTTGAGTTGTTTATGGAAAAAAAGATTATGGATACTACTCTCAGTAAAAGTGAGAATAGATTTGTAATTATTGTAATTTTCTATGTACTTTTTAACATTCTATGAATAAAAATCTATGATATTTCTATCATAAATTATAGAAATATTATTCCTACATCTATAGAAAAAATCAACAATGAACTTCAAAGTTTGTGCCAAAAAATTAAATAATTAAGAAAAACAAGTAAATCAAGTTTATAATTGAATTTGAGGAATCTTGCTACTATAAGTATAAGAAAAACAAGAATAAGTACAGCAAAGAAGTTTGATGGAAAAAGATCAAAATTTTGAAGGTTTTTACAATAAGTAAAATTCTATCTAAGATTGTATCATTTTAAATACCATGATGGATTTACTCAAGTTGGATTTATTGGAGCATTTGTTTTTGAAATGTTCTTTCTTGATTTGCACCTTTAATAGAAAAATATTTTTAACTATTCTATAATTTGAATTTATTCTTGGAAGTGTTTGCAACTACATTTAGAGAAAGTGATTAAAAATTTTAAGCCAAAAATTTGCTCGGAAACTTAAGATATGGCTCCAACCATTACTATCAACAAAACAACTTACTTACTACCTTTGATTTACATATATTATCTTTAATGCTTTATTATTTCTTTATAAAAATTCCAAATATAGTAATTCTTTTACAAAAGATATAGATCTTAAAATTACCTTTGTAGTGACATCTTTTGAACTCCAAAAGCTAATGTACAAATCTTTGTATTTTTAAAAAAAGCAACAATATGTCTTAAAAAGACATCTTAGCTTTAAACAGCTATAATTTTATTATCTTAAATCCAAATCTTTTATAATTTATATACAAATTATAGCTCAAATCCTAAACCTTACAATCTTTGCTTTTAATTCTCAAATGCTCCTTTTATAGCCGTGAATACCTTTACTATAGTCGCAAATAGCCTCCTAGGAACCTATTGGGCATGACTTTTGTCCAATAGAGATGAAGATCTTCACTCCTTGCCTTCATCCATCCATGCCTTTCTTTCATCCTTCTAAATAAGCTTCTTAGAAGTTTGGATCTTCATCATTGAATCCTAATCTTTTCTTTAAATTTTATACCAAATATTTGAATTTTATATAATTTAAACATTATAATAAAAATAGGTAAATCTTAAGAATAAATTTTCTTACATCAACTCTCTTTAAATTAATCTATTAACTATTCTAATATATATTAATAATTATAAATATATTATATAATTTAGTTAATTTTTACATATTATAAACAATTATAATACAACATTATTGATTTTTTGAAGGCATTCTTCATAGAAACAAGTATATCAAACTTTTCTATATATACTATTTTGTCACAAATGGGAGCAAATAACAAATTTTATTAAGTAGCTTTTTATTCATGGAATTTTTTAATAGCTAAGATTAAATATAAAATCCATGACAAAAAGCTTCTTGCAATTATAGATTTATTCTAAATATGACATTATTATCTAGAAGGTACTTCAAATATAGTCACTAATGTTATATTATGTGAAGTCTTGCTTGAGAATGTATCAAGTATCTGGTTATAGAAGGTAAAAGAAAAATTACAACAACAAGATTTTAATTCTAATAGAATCTTAAATAATTCTAATTAAATCTTAACAATGCTAATCAAGATTTAATCAAATCCAAAGAAACTTCAAAGAAATTTTGAAAGAAGCATAAAGAAATCCTAAAGAAATTTAAAAGAAGTATTAGAATAAAATCCTTAATATATCTTAAATAAATTTTAATCAAATCTTAATTTAATTCTAATTAAAATCCTAGTAGTCCTTACTTAAATTCTAAGTCACACTCTACCTAAATCCTAAACAATCCTAATCAATTTCTAAATCCTAAACCAAATCCTAATCAAATTAATCTAATCTTAGGATAGTTTAGAACCTTAATATCTATCAATTTTACCATTGATCTTGCTTAATATTTTATATAGCTTTCAACAACTAAGTTGGAAATAACCACACAAAATTTGAAGAAGATCAAACTTACCAAATAGAAGATCAATTCTAAATTCCACTTGGGTATTGATTGACTTTCTACTCCAATCTAAATGTAGAACTTCTAGTGCTAATATCTCCTTTTTAAACTATTGAATTGTCTCTAAAATATACGTAAATTATAAAAAAATTTATTTCTATCCAATCAACAGATTGTTAAAAATCTTAAAAATATTCATTAACTTTCAAATTCTAATTTATGAGATCTCAATCCAAAAAAACCTAAACATACTTTGATTTAATTGTTTGATTGACTTCAAAATTTGTACACATACTTACAACTAAAATACCAATATATTATCCAAAATTCACCTATACACACACCACA